TTTTGGAGTACTCTAATGTAAATTAATATCCTAAAGCATAGTTTATTTTTTAACTATATCTAATGTGAAAATCACTTACCATTACTCTAATATAGAAAATAAACAGATTTTTTATCCAGAAATTTTTAAACAACTAATTAAAAGTTTGGATCTAAAAGAATCATTTCATCAATCCAAACTTTTAATTAGTTGTTTTGAATCAAAATCAAATCGAAGTTTTTAGACATTTTCGATTTTAGGTAAATTCGAAATTGTTCGAATAGTGTAATCATCACTTACTGATGTCGGTAAGCGCCCCAATGCAATTTGATTGTAATTCAACTCGTGACGATCATAAGTAGAAAGTTCATATTCTTCAGTCATTGATAAACAATTTGTTGGACAATACTCAACACAATTACCACAAAATATATAGATTCCAAAATCAATACTGTAATTAAACAATCGTTTCTTTCGAATGTCATTTTCTAATTTCCAATCAACAACCGGTAGATCTATAGGGCATACATGAACACATACTTCACAAGCAATGCATTTATCAAATTCAAAGTTGATTCGGCCTCGGAAACGCTCAGGTGTTATCAGCTTTTCGTAGGGATATTGAATAGTTATAGGTAAACGCTTTGTATGAGATAAGGAAATCATGAAACCTTGACCAATGTACCTAGCAGCTCGTACTGTTTGTTGCCCATAATTTATGAACCCAATTACCATAGAAAACATGTCGTAAATATATAAATAAAATAAAAAGTATGGAACTACTTCGTTAGGATTGAGGAATTGCTGCGATCATAGGTACTCAAGATATTGTGTTTGGGGAGGTGGATAGATAGGACTACGTCTTGCTCAAGCAGGGCCCTAGCTTTATTGCAAGCCAAAAACCCCATCATTTATAGATCCTTCGATATTCTATTCTTTCTAGTTCTGGACCAATAGTAAAAGAGTCTGGTCTAGCTCTTAGCGCAAAGTAGCACCTGCCCTGTATGGTCAAAAGCAAAAATCTCTATTTAATAGGGCTTCTTCCTATACCTATGAATTCCATTGGACCCAGAAATGTTACATTGGAAGAATCCATTGGGTCTTCCAATATCAACAGGGTGATTGTTTCGCACCTCTATCTTCCAAACGGAAAAAATATCTAGCCCATGGGCTTGGTCTTACTTTACCGTCGAGAAAGGAAAGAAGACTTCCATCTCCAAGTTTAACTCAAACGTATCTCCCTTCTTTTTGGGTGTGAAGCAGTGTCAAACCAAAATACCCGTATATCAAAAATGGAAAATTGGCTATGGTCTGAAGTGAGCCTGAAGTCAAAATTTAATAGATACTGAGAAAGCGTCTTTCGTGATGAAAGTTGCAAGTTTGGATTGAGAAAGAAATCAGCTAAGCGCAGCTGAATCAATTATTATAGGAGGCGTAGGGTAGAAGCAAGGAGAAAGGCAGGAGCAGAGTCTAAAGGAGAGAGCGAAATGAGAATGTAATACTTGTGTCACGGACAGTTTTTCTTCACCACGAATTCGGGTGGTTTGATGCGAAACGGGCTATTTTCGTAGACGGACATGGACGGAACGGTCTAAAGCCTTGTGGAATTCTCCGGTTAAATCTTGAAGACTCTGGAATTTTCTAGAGAGGCCCGGAACTCTCTAGAAATGGGTGGAACCGTGTGGAAGCTACCCGAGTTTGCTAGAACCGTGTGGAAGATTCTAGAGACTTGTAGATATTTTGAACTTAGAATATTTTATTGTAGGAATTCTCTAGAATTCCATTATTTTATTATGTACATAGAATTCTCTAGAATTCTTTAGGACTTGGGGGTTTGCCTATAAATACCCCATGCCCCCTTCATTTGTAAGCATCCAAGCTTTGAGTAGAGTTCTCAAGCATTCCCTAAGCTCTCTTGTGCCTTCATCATTCTTTCACTTTCAACCTTTCTTAAGTTTTTCTTCGCTTCCGTTCTTTAAAGTCTTGCCTAGCTTTGCACGCTTTGGGGGTCTGAAGGCTGAGGTAGCAGTTGATCGTTAGTTGTTTTGTGCTAGTGCCGCACGGCCGTTACTTTGAAAAAGTAAGCCCGTGACAGTTGGTATCAGAGCCTCGGCTCGATACTTGGTGTGCTACATCGTCTACGCTTCCGTTTGTTGGTTTTCTTTCGTGCATAAGCTATGTCTAACTCTTCGGAGGTTGTTCAAGGGTCGGAGCTTGAGGGGGATCACGTTTCCCGTGAGGTGGGGAGGACCACCCGCAAAGGAAGCCGCAAGGAGAAGTCGGTCGTTAGGGAGCACCCTGAGGTGGTAGCGGGGGTCGTCGAAGCTCGCATGGAGCGATTCGGAGGGGAATTGCAAGAGGTCATGCAGCAAATGAAGGACGACATGCTAGGGACGCTCAACGAAATGGTGGAACGTTGCAACAAGTCGAAGGAGGAAAGCCTTGCTCGTGTTGCGGCCCTCCAAGACGACATCAACCGGCTTATGGGGGAGCTGGAGACTTCTCGGGCAGAATTGGCGCGTCTTAAGGCACGGCTTGACACCGTGGCCGTGCAAGGGACAACCGGAGCCGTGGGGACGGTTCCAAGGCTTGAAGCACCCAAGCCGGACGAATACAAGGGCAGCCGTCGCTTGAGAGACGTAGAGAACTTTCTCTGCAGTATGGAACGGTACTTTGGGGCTATGAATATCATGGACGACTCGGTAAGACTCTTCAAAGCCTCTCTTTATCTTAAAGATAGTGCCTTATCATGGTGGAAACGTATGATGAAACCCGTGGGGGATGGAGACCCGGTCTTCACCACGTGGGATGGTTTTAAGGAAGAGTTTAGAAAGTATTTCCTACCCGTGGATGCGGAAGACGAAGCCCGGGCCAAGCTTCATCGTCTGCACCATAGGGAAGGACAAATCCGGGAATACGTTAAGGAATTTTCGGACTTGATGCTTGAAATTCCGGATCTCTCGCCCAAGGAGGCGTTCTTTACTTTCATGGACGGTCTCAACCGTTGGGCCAAACTTGAGCTACAACGGAGAGAAGTCCAGGACATCGATCGGGCGTTAAAGGTGGCCGAGTCGCTTGTTGAGTTCCAAAAGAAGGATAGCTCCAAGGACAAAGGCAAGAAGCCGTTCCAAGGCAAAGGTGGGGGAGACAAAGGGAAGTCTTCCACACCCGCCAAACCGGCAGCCGACTCTACAAAGCCGTCTTCGAGCAAGGAGACCAAGGGGGACAAGCCAAAGAAGTTTCAAGGGTGCTTCTTGTGCGGGGGAGAGCACATGGCACGTGATTGCCCGTCTCGTTCGAAGTTGGCAGCATTGGCACAAGGTTTGTGCCAAGAAGAGGAGAAACGGGTCGCTTGCATGAAACGGCTAGACGCCGTGCATGCCAAGGCCGAGACACGTCAAGGCCGTCTTTACATGGAGGCATCGTTCGCAAACGGGTCTAGATGGGGCATGCTAGACACGGGGGCCGACACGAGTTATCTCACGGAAGAGGTAGCCAGTTTGCTTGGCGTCAAGTGGACACCTAGCAAAGGCCGTTTCAAGGGCATGAACGGCGAATGGACGGGTCTTGTAGGCGAAGCCAGGGATGTGCCTCTTAAAATCGGCAACTGGTCAGGTACGGCCAATTTCTCCATTGCACCTATGGATGATTATGGTCTTGTGTTTGGCATGGAGTTTTTAGACCAGGTAAAGCCGATCATCGTGCCTAGCAACGACACGATGGTTGATAGCAATCTCGTAGACGAAGCAAATTTCGTTAATGCAACCATCAACAAGAAAGTACGAAGATAATTTTGTCTATCCCGTGAAACTCAAAAGAGTGCGGAAAATTCACAGTAAGACGATCGTTTATCTAAGTGATTCTATCTCTTAACTCAAACCAAGCAAAGAACACATTATCCATGAAAGATTCGAATTAAACAACAACCCACGCTAAGAATAGCAAGGACACCATTCAATATACTCGATCAGTCATTAATCAAGAGACTCAAGAAAGGTAGGAGCAAACAATGCCCAACTATGAAGGAATACTATTAATTAGTAATCTTCATAACCAACCAAAGATATGCAACACATACACTATCTCAAAATGCTTATGCCAAAGCACAACTCATCCCAACAAAAGTAGGACAAACCCCACAATGGATCTCATAAACACACTCATCATGAAATTCGAACACCAAGCCAAAGGAAAGGCTCATCAATCGAACTACTAGAAGTAGTATGAAAATAAGAAGTTTAGTTTTAAAACAATTCTATCAAGAAGCATACTTGAAAAGAATGGTTTCGCAAGATCAAAAGATCCAAGACAAGATGAAAACCCTCTTGGTTTAAACATACTTGACACGAAAAATGGACACTCCATTTAACAAAAATTCCTCACAGGAAAAACTCTCAAAAGAGACAACAAAAATGACCACTCAAGGGTGCTTCTAAAATTCGGCCAAGCCTCCTATATATAGGCTTGAATTTTTCGGCCAGCACCTCTAAAAAGAAGACCAATTAGGACTCTCTAATCTTATCTCACAAGGAGTAAAAGTAGAAGAGTACTTGATCTCTTTGACTCTATCTAAAATCTAGGAAACCTTATCTAAATCACTTATCCTCAAGTAGGATAATATCTAGAAGGAATCTAAGACTCCTAATCAAAACACTCTAGTTTAATTCAGTCCACATGACTTATTTAACTAGATAAAATTCGAAAAATTGACTCCTAGACTTAGACTAACTCTAATCTCGAAATTCAGCTCCAAATTATTGAAGTAAAATGTCTTGAACGCCCTTCCAAAAGTGAAATATTGGTCTTGCGCCCCTTAAGTTGTAGAAACCCCCAATTTCCTCCAAAACTTGTAGAATTCACCTTATTGACTCCAAAAGATTGGAAAAACACTTGAAACAATTAAGATAGTTTGCAACCTATCCAATTGTGTAGCAATGGACTCAATCTTGAACACTTTGATCAAATAGGCCGTCCACTCATGAACCTAAATGACTCTTCTCACTAGCTTTGATCAATGATCTTCATGGAGCACACAGAGTCAAACTCTCTTGATACTCTTCAGCACTTATTTCCATGAGGTCTTCATCTCCTTTGGTTTGCACCCCAAAGTTAATGACATTCTCATCACCTTGATCATAGCTCTCTTGAACCAACTCCCTATCACATAGGTAGTCAAGATCCATCCTTTCTTCCTTGATTGGCCTGCAAAGTAAACTTGGCATTCCAAATCTAGAATGAAGGATTAACTCATTCCCCTCACTAGGAGAACCTCCATGGAAGGCTACATGATTCTCATCATCCCCTCCTTCTTTAAGAGGATTCGTCCTCGAATCATCAACCTCTATACCTGCACAAGGAACAAACGAGATATAAGGGTTAGTAAAATCCTTACCCTCACCACACTCTGATTTTCTCTCATTGCGTGCATTTATTTCTTTTTCCACGCTATTTTCATGGTTTTCTCTCGCCTCAAGTCTTACCTCATCGTGACCCTTTTTACTTTCTTGCGTCACTCGCTCGACTTTTTCTCTCCCTTGTGTATAGGTTATCTTACGTCTTTTCTCTCGCACAGATTCAGATTCTTCATTAGCCAAAGGCTTAAGAACATATTTTCTGTCCTCTTTAGTAAAGACAAAGATATTCTTAGAGCAATGGTGCACAGCATCTACATCCGACTGCCAAGGCCTACCTAGCAAAATATCACAAAGAGACATAGGAATTACATCAAAGTAAATTTCATCCCTATACTCAGCAATCGAAAAGGTACCATGGCCTTTTAGTAACATCCACAACCATCTCTTCACTCAACCATTGAAGCTTGTATGGTCTAGTATGCGGATCCATCTGAATTCCGTTTGCTATGCAAAATTCCTCACTTATACAATCAGTACTCGACCCACCGTCGATTACCAAATCAACTTCATTGGACCACCCAACCGAACACTTAGTACGGAAGATACAAGTCCGTTGATCTCCATCTTCAGCTCCAAACACCAACCCCGATCCTCAATTGGACCATTCCAACCACAAGAAGTATCATGCTCTCTTTCCACTTCTAAGGCAGCATAGTATGCCTCATAGAGCCTTGATTGTCTCCTTATCTTTGGATGTTGTTTGAAACACTTGTCCAAGCCATAGTGGAAACGGTCTGTCAACATGTAGTCGTTCTCATCCACTTCGAACTCGAAACAACCCTCTAATTCCTCAAAGTAAGATTGAACGGATCTACCATTCTCGCTTACAATTGAGCAACTTCACTTTGCTTCATCAAAGGTGTTAGTACCAACATATCTTTCTCGCAAAGCACTTCTCAAATCATTCCAATCATCCAAGTTACGAAACCAATAATGCGAATAGATATTTGAAACTAGCTTCCACCAATTCAAAGCATTAGAACGAAAACAACCTATAGCTAAGGCTATTTTCTCACTCTCTTTCTCTATGTTAAGCAACACAAACAAATTCTCTATGCTCTTTTCCCAAGTATCATATTCTCTATGACAACCATAAAACAAAGGCAATGACACTTGCAACATTCCAGCATACGAGGGTACTTGTTTAACTTCAAAACGATCACATAAGACTCTTAAATTTTCAGCAATTTTCTCAAAACTTACCATAGCTTTATCTTGCTGATTTGAAAGCATTTGAGACAAGTCTCGGTTTGCCCCCTTAACTTCGGCCAAAGCTTCATGTAGGAAGTCAATTTGACTCTTCATGAGCTGTACTTGAGCCTCCATGCGACCCTCTACACTCTTTGAAGCGATTTGAGTACAACCAGCAACTCCGGATGACATCTTTGCTCAACAATCTTGAGAATCCACCAACAAAAGAAGTAATGTGCCTTGTTTACTACACAAAAACTCCTTGAACCCTAGAACCAAAGTATGGTTCGGCCAAAACCCCCCCAAGAACCAAAGGAAGGTTCAAATAAAGCTCTCCCCAAAAACAAAAACTCTCTTGTGCTTTTAAGAACACAACTCTCAAAAATTTCAGAATTAAAGAGAAGAGTGCTTCTCTTGCTTTTCTCTTTTTGATCTCGGCAGCAAGAAAGAAGAAGAAAAATTAGAGTAGAGTGATGTGAGAATTTTCAAAAAACACCACTCCTAGTTATAGGCAATGCAAGTCTTTTTGTGCAAGAAAACTCCTACAAGATAGGACCTAATTTTTCTCAAAAATATTCCCCCCTAATTGATGAAGGTTTGCTCGACAATGTGGAATAAAGAAGAAGAAAAACCGGCCTCATATATATAGACAAGGATAGAGTCCTAAAACTTAGGTAAACATAATCCTTTTTGGACACAAATTAAGAAAACTCATCCCTACTTATTAGAGATAAAATTTTCGACCCCCCTACTACTAAAAGGACTCAAATACACGGCCACACACATGCACAAATGTATTAGAAGACTAAAATATTTTCAGATTAGGATAAGACTTCCTTATCTTAATAGTTTTCGAAAATAGACTCACTTTAAAACTCTAATTATAATCTTACTGAAATTATAATTTAACACATGCAAAAATTAGTATTTAAATCCAAGTAGGACTTAAATAAAACACACAATAAAATTGTATTACAATTAGGAAACAATGGCTGCAAATTTTCGGCCAATGTGAACACAAAAATCCAACACCGAATAGGACTCAAATCATAACACAATTTGGACTCAAAGACCTTAATTTTAGAGCTAAAATTTTCGGCCATGTGAACACACAAATACAAGACCAAATAGGTCTCCAAGTGTAACACAAATAGACAACCAAAATTCAAGTTCAACTAGAACTAGGAAAACCTAATTTTTAGCTTCACAATTTCGGCTATACTATGACTCTAAAATTCAAAACCAACTAGGCTTAGAATAACACATAAATCACACGCACACACATGCAAAAAGTCAGCAAAATTTCGGTCATTAACCTTTTACCACATAGTTAAAATTTGAAAAATTACTTTTGACTCTCTTAAAAAGGAAACTTGAAAATTACCACTTTCCAAAAATGGACAACAACTTTTAGAATCTTTCTAAAAACCCTTTTCCAAATTGTACTTGGAATTAACAAAAATCACTTTTACCAAAACAATCCATGGCAAATAAAGTAACAAGAACACCATAATTATAATTCAATTATGACATTTGCTTCATAATACTAAATTCAACACAAATCATTCTGAAAACTCAATGACTTAACAATGCCATCTTCATAAGTGACCATTGAAAATCAATCTTTCAACAACCAAATATGTAAACTTTGAGAATACATCTCAAAACCTATAAGATTTCTTGTCATACATTAAGAAAATCTTTTTTTGAAGAAACTTCACTTAATTTTCGACCCTACTTTCGAAAATCAAGGTTTTACAACACAAGTCAAAGACTTCAATCCTTAAAGTTGGCACAATTCAACTTCAAAGACCTTAAAACACTTTGATACCAAAACTGATATCACTAAAATTCATTCCTTATCACTTGACAAAGAAAGTTTTTGACTAAAACTCAAAGTGTAAAACTTGAAAATCCATAAATTCCATTTTACTCATTAGATTCAAATGAAACCAACAAGAAGAAAGGCTTTTTCATTTATACTTTATGTAGAAAGTACAAAATCCTTAAGCTTCACCTTTCAAAGAATAGATCCAAGATATTTACCACAAGATAAACTCTCAAATCCTCCTTATGTAAAGACATCTCTTTAGAAAGAAAAGGCTATCTCGAGCAAGAAGCTCTTCTTTGGCATCAATTCTCTCCTTAAAGATCCAACACATAAGATCCACTAACTTGCTCATAGGAGAAACAGTTCTCTACTTGCAAATCAAGGATAAATTTCAAGATGCCAACGTACCATCATCAAGCTCTCGCATAGACCTTAAAATAACACCACAAGATCAAACAAATGTGTAAGAAGTCTCGCACAACCACACAAAAGACAAGATCAATTTTGAAAACGTAGTTTTCACAAGAATTTGATTTATTTTTTCAACACCCCATTCCAAAACAAGAAGGAACCTTGAAACAAATAAAGATAGTACTACTCGTTAAGTAGCACAAAGCTCGATCACCACACCAAGTAACGGATTCCGTGGTAATTCAAGATATTCTCAAAACCAAGAACTATAAAGTTCCCAACTAAGAAGAAATCTCTCAAAAATCAAACTGATAATAGGAATTGATATGACAATATCAATTAATACCATCACTAAGATAATCCAAGCTCTGATACCAAGAAACTGATAGCAATCTCGTAGACGAAGCAAATTTCGTTAATGCAACCATCAACAAGAAAGTACGAAGATAATTTTGTCTATCCCGTGAAACTCAAAAGAGTGCGGAAAATTCACAGTAAGACGATCGTTTATCTAAGTGATTCTATCTCTTAACTCAAACCAAGCAAAGAACACATCATCCATGAAAGATTCGAATTAAACAACAACCCACGCTAAGAATAGCAAGGACACCATTCAATATACTCGATCAGTCATTAATCAAGAGACTCAAGAAAGGTAGGAGCAAACAATGCCCAACTATGAAGGAATACTATTAATTAGTAATCTTCATAACCAACCAAAGATATGCAACACATACACTATCTCAAAATGCTTATGCCAAAGCACAACTCATCCCAACAAAAGTAGGACAAACCCCACAATGGATCTCATGAACACACTCATCATGAAATTCGAACACCAAGCCAAAGGAAAGGCTCATCAATCGAACTACTAGAAGTAGTATGAAAATAAGAAGTTTAGTTTTAAAACAATTCTATCAAGAAGCATACTTGAAAAAGAATGGTTTTGCAAAATCAAAAGATCCAAGACAAGATGAAAACCCTCTTGGTTTAAACATACTTGACACGAAAAATGGACACTCCATTTAACAAAAATTCCTCACAGGAAAAACTCTCAAAAGAGACAACAAAAATGACCACTCAAGGGTGCTTCTAAAATTCGGCCAAGCCTCCTATATATAGGCTTGAATTTTTCGGCCAGCACCTCTAAAAAGAAGACCAATTAGGACTCTCTAATCTTATCTCACAAGGAGTAAAAGTAGAAGAGTACTTGATCTCTTTGACTCTATCTAAAATCTAGGAAACCTTATCTAAATCACTTATCTTCAAGTAGGATAATATCTAGAAGGAATCTAAGACTCCTAATCAAAACATTCTAGTTTAATTCAGTCCACATGACTTATTTAACTAGATAAAATTCGAAAAATTGACTCCTAGACTTAGACTAACTCTAATCTAGAAATTCAGCTCCAAATTATTGAAGTAAAATGTCTTGAACGCCCTTCCAAAAGTGGAATATTGGTCTTGCGCCCCTTAAGTTGTAGAAACCCCCAATTTACTCCAAAACTTGTAGAATTCACCTTATTGACTCCAAAAGATTGGAAAAACACTTGAAACAATTAAGATAGTTTGCAACCTATCCAATTGTGTAGCAATGGACTCAATCTTGAACACTTTGATCAAATAGGCCGTCCACTCATGAACCTAAATGACTCTTCTCACTAGCTTTGATCAATGATCTTCATGGAGCACACAGAGTCAAACTCTCTTGATACTCTTCAGCACTTATTTCCATGAGGTCTTCATCTCCTTTGGTTTGCACCCCAAAGTTAATGACATTCTCATCACCTTGATCATAGCTCTCTTGAACCAACTCCCTATCACATAGGTAGTCAAGATCCATCCTTTCTTCCTTGATTGGCCTGCAAAGTAAACTTGGCATTCCAAATCTAGAATGAAGGACTAACTCATTCCCCTCACTAGGAGAACCTCCATGGAAGGCTACATGATTCTCATCATTAAATCTTGTATTGATTACGCGAAAAGAACTGAGTGGCGAGCCTTTTGAAGGCCTTTCCGGTATCAATCCTCTTAGAAAAAAATGCCCTTGTACGTGTCATTAAAAGATGCTTTTTCTGTGAAAACACTAGAAGCTTCTTCTCGAAGAGTTTGCTGCCACTTCATCGGCCCTCTATGTCATACCTCTAAAGGTGCGATGCCGATAGAACTCTATCCATAGATGACCTCGTTGAGGTTCGTAGATAGCGAAATGGGAAGAAATTAGGTTCAAAGATAAGAGCGGTCCGGGTCTTTCTTTAGTTTTCCCGGAGGAAGCAACTGATTGAGCTGCGCTAACGTTAACGTTTTCTTGCATGACAGCGAATGCTGTTCACACGGGAACTCTTCCTTTCTTGCAGAACCTCAACTGCTAAGCTTCGCTAGTCTAAGTATACTAACTTAGCTTATTAGCCGTCACTCTACGACTTGTAGACACTGCCTCCCAAAGAGAGTAAGTATTTCTATCAACCACAGGCTCCCTAGGTTTGGTTTCTGGCTTTTTTGAAGTAGTATCCCATTCCTGTATGCCTTCCTGCGGGATTTCCTATTCATCTTTTCATATCATATAGTCATATAAAGGGATATCTTTAAATCATGGTCCAGTTGAGGTTGAAGGTGCGAAAGAAGTTTTTCAGGTACGTCTTGTTATGGGCCTATGGATTCTTTAAAGACTACGCACTAAAAGGGAGAAAGTGAACCGGCGTTCCTCTCTTTCTCCCGATTCTTATTACGTTGAGTAAGGGAATAAAGCACTCACTAGAACAAAAGCGAAGCGCTGTTGGTATATAAATGGATTTGTCAGCTACATGGAAAATCCCATTCCTTAGCCGAGGCAGCATACCGACCTGATGCCGATGCGTTCATAATTCACTAGACAAAGCGGCCTAGATTGCAAGTTTTGACCACGAGTAGGGATACGCTTTAAACTTTCATTCTTATGGCTGGCCGATGA